GTCTCTTTCCCAGCAGCGCGTGTCTCTTTCAGCAGCACGTCTTCCTCAACGAGCAGTCAGAGAGAGCTCTGCCTCTAGGAGGCCTCCTTTTGAGCCTGGCAGAGTGGCCAAACTAGCCAATCATAACATCAGAATTCTAAGCACCTGAGAGAGAGCAAACTTCCCAGAACATTGCTCCAGTAACACGCCCAACAGAAATACCCCAGTTGGATAACATTTACAATCAGGAGCTCCTCAGTTGCTCACAGCAAAGTCCACCATGGAGTTTACAAAGACTTATGGCTGGAAAAGCCATACCAGGTAATTTACCACACCACAGAGGGACACCAGAAGATGAGATCATCAAGGCAGGCAGTGATCAGATCTTACAGAGCCAGTCTTAAGTGTAATGTAAAGCTATTTGAGAGTTTTAAGCAGAAAACATAAATAATTTGATTTAAGGTTAAATATTCTGGCTGCCTCACGGACTTTAGGGCAAAAGTGGAAGCCTGCATAAACCTAACAAGCTATTGCTGATATCTGAGATTGGGAAGGTTAAGGTGAAAGCCGTGAAATAATATATTTAGAAGATAAAATCTCTCTGTGCCATTTCATGTCAAAATTCTCCTTTTATGGCTAAAGCTTTGAAAGTTTGATGCTTTATTTTTATAAAAGATGTTGTTCACTTTTAAAATCTCATGTTAAATATATCCTATATAAACAATGACAAACTTTTAAGTAAGATAAAAGAAGATTGGTTTCTTTTATATGTCTAATATTCATAACACTAAGAGAAGATATATTTGTATTTCATCTGTGATTTAATAAAATTCTTTATCATTTCTTTGTATTAAAGTTTTTAACTGTAGCCCAGATAGTAAAGAAGCTGAACATTCTTTGTGGAGCATATGTCTAGGTTGATGCACATGAAAGGCACTTTATACTTAAAAATGTTTAACAAAATATTTTTTACCACATTTGTGCAAGAAAATGAGACAAAATGTATTCACAAATTTAATAAATATCAGATCTAAATAACTAAGACTACTTTTAAGGATGCCCTTACAAAACCCTCCACCAATACCCTGCTTTATACCTTACCTATTTTCTTTTGCCTCCCTTTTTGGACATTGTTCCGTATTTCTCCAGACACATGATTATCCAAGCCAATTAGCATGATGTGAAAGTTTGTACTTAGGAATGAGCTCTGATGGCCCTATCTTTGTAGGGAGATGCATGGCACAGAGCACATCATTTCATCTCTCTGATAATTGGTTTTCTTACCTTTGAAATGAAGGAAATAACTTGTGATGGTGGTTGCTAGGTGCTGTCAAGTCAGTTCTGATTCACAGGGATCCTATGTACTACAGAACAAAATATTGCCTGGTCCTGTGCCATATTCATAATCTTCACCATGTTTGAGCCCAGTATTGCAGCAGCTGTGTCAATCTCTCTTGTTGAGGATCTTCCCCTTTTATTAGAGCTCTGGTGGCATAGTGCCTAAGGCATTTGATTGCTAACCAGAAGGCTGGAGGTTCAAACCCACTAGCCACTCCGCCACTCCTCAGAAGGGAGGTTGGGCAATCTACTTCCTTAGTGATACCTCCTCGGGAACCCAAGGAGGGGTCCAACTCGATGGCAGTGAGTTCGGTTTTGGTTTGGTTCTACTTTACCAAACATGCTGTCTTTTCTAGGGACTGGTCCCTTCTGACTACATGACCAAAGTGTGTGAGACAAAGTATGGCCATTCTCACTTGTGAGGAGAATTTCAGCTGTACTTCTTCCAAGACGGATGTGTTAGTTCTTCTAGCAGTCCCAGAAATTGGTGGTTCAAACCCACCAGCTGCTGCAGGAGAGGAAGATGAGGCAATCTACTTTCATAAAGATTTATAGCCTTGGACACCCAATGACTCCACGGCATGGTATGCTAGACCAAAACCAGTTGACTCCACGGCAGTGGGTTAGGCTTTGGTTTTGGTCTAGCATACCATGGTATTTTCAATACTCTTCGCCAATATCACCATTCAAGTACATAAGTTTTTCAGTCATCCTTATTCATTGTCCAGCTTTCACGTGGATATGAGGCAATTGAACATGCTGTAGCTTAGGCCAGGCATACCTTAATCTTTAAAGTGACATTTTTACTCTTAAACACTTTGAAGAGGACTTTTGCAGCAGATTCGCCTAGTGTAATGCTACATCTGATTTCTTGACAGTTGCTTCCATGAGCATTGATTGTGGATCCAAGTAACATGGAATCCTTGACAACTTCAATCTGTTCTCCATAACTAGACAATCCTAAAGTTCTTTGCAGTGCTAAGATTTGAAGATTGTCCCTCCCTTGATTGTTACACTTGGCCAACATAATGTATCATTTGCTTTACTTGCTATTTTTATGCTGATGATCCCCACATCTATATCTCACGGTCGTGTCTCTCTCGTGAGGTGTGGCATCCTTACTGTAATCTCAAACTCAGAGAAGAATAAGAAAGAAACAGAAAATATAGTCACTGCACTCTGAAAGACAGATTATATATGAAAAAGATAAGAATTCCCACACCAGAAGGATGTGTCTAAACAAATGAGAATCGGGATTTATATGAGTCTGACCAGGTGAGACCCAGTAAGAGGCAAGGGAGTCCATGGCTTCTCCAGGTCTTGCAGAGATCATTGGTAGAAAGACATATGCCAAGAGGGATAATGACATTAGCCTCAGATCACAGAATGCTCATTTTCCCTCAATATCCATTAATCACTCATTCTCTGATACATGTCTAATCAGGAGAGCATGAAAGGATAGAAGTGGGCCAAGAAAAATTTCACTAAGGAGATGATTCTGGATCTGAGTCGAGAAAGCTTAAGTAGATGGTTACTGGAAAAAATAAAAAGGTGGAGAAGAAGATTCTATTAAAAAGAGAGACAGCCTCAGATAATGCAAGGAAAGTATACAAAGAAAGGAAAAAGTTTCTGGGGAAAGTTAACAAGTCATTTCAGACATTATGCATTTGAGGAGCTTATGCAATATGTCATTTTGAAAACTAAGATGTGCCTGACCCAAGCGATAGCATTTTCATTAGCCTTATATGCATGTGAAGGAGCTCTGGTAGCAGAGTGCCTAAGGCATTTGATTGCTAACCAGAAGGCTGGTAGTTTAAACCCACCAGCCACTCCTTGGAAGGAGGATTGTTGTTGTTGTTGTTATATGCCATCGAGTCGGACCCGACTCATAGAGACCCCTCCTTGGGTTTCTGAGGCAGTATCACTACAGAAGTAGATCGCCCCATCTTCCTTCTGAGGAGTGGCTGGTGGGTTTGAACCGCCAGCCTTCTGGTTAGCAGTCAAGTGTTTTAGGCACTACACTACCAGAGCTCCTTGGAAGGAGAATTAGGCAATCTATTTCTATAGTAAGTGAAACTGCCTCAGAAACCCAAGGAGGGGTCGCTGTGAGTTGGATCTAGCTCGACTGCAGTGGGTTTGGATTTATCTGCATGTAAAAGCTGGGCAATGGATAAGGAAGACTGAAGAAGAATTGATGTATTTGAATTGTGGTATTGGCAAAGAATATTGAACACACCATGGACTTCCAGAATGAACAAATATGTCCTGGAAGAAGTATAACCAGAATGCTCCTTAGAAGTGAAAATGGCCAGACTTCATCTCACATACTTTGGTCATGTTGTCAGAAGGGACCAGTCCTTGGAAAATATATCTTGCTTGGTAAAGCAGAAGGTCAGAGAAAAAGGGGAAGCCTCTCAATGCCATGGACTGATATAGCGGCAATTGTGATAGAAACAGCTTTCCTTCCCAACAGGTTTTTTAAACTTAATGGTAGTAGAGAAATTAACATGGATGTCACATACAAATTGGAGACAAATTTGCCCTTTAAAATAAATTTCTGTCCCTGAGATCCATTGCTATCACAGATCTTTCATGGCTTCTCCGAGATAAAGTTCCCAGGTCTGTCCCTTACCTTCTTTCCTCAAATGGGTAGTACTTTAACATCCCCACATTCATTTTCCTCATTTTGCCATTCTTCCTGACATTTCTTAATAGTCAGGAACAGACCTTTGTCAGTTAATTTATTATAGAAAGATCAGTAGAATGTGGGCTAGCTCAGCAGGCAGAACTGGATATGATGCAGAACCTCGTTCAAACCAAATGAACATCAATAATGATAATAATAATAATTATTATTTTTTAAGCACTTATTAAGTGCCAGTTACAAATACATAAAAATTCTCATTTACTCTTCAAAAGAACTCTGTAAATTAAGCATTCCATACCAACTCTTACAGATGAGCAAGTGAAGGCTTGGACAGGTTAAGTAGATTCCCTGAAGTCACACAGCCCAGGAGGTGGCTGAGCTGAAACTTAAACTTTTATTTGTCCATTTTCCATTTTACCAGTGCTTCCAAGTAATGTGGTTGTTTGTGTGTTGAATTATAAGAGTTCTTGAGGAGAGATGTATGAGAGAAATGGTGACTTGTTCAGTCGGAAGGTAGCCCCTACTCCTGTTTGTCATTTAGTTGGAAGAAGATTCATATGGCTGAGATATCGAAACCGTGCACATAATGAATTGAACTTAGCTTTGACTGACTCACATGGATGTTTCTTTGCCTTCTAGGAAGATTTCCAACCCGCTGCAGCCTCAGAGACTAACTGGGAGTCAGTCACAAGCTCCATCTCAGTAAGTAATTTATTACTCTGTTGCCTGTGGGGGGAAAAAATTGATGGAGTAGCTAAAGTTAATCCTAGCATGACTTCAGCTGCATTAAGGACCTATGGCTTGACCAAAAGCCAGATTTGAAGCAAGATGTTTTCTTCCATTTCATTCAGGTTACAGCAGGCTACGTAAAAGAATGCCCTTTTATCCTCTCTTTTAGGAAAGGTTTCCAGGAAATGTCAGCAGTCACTGTAGGACCACAGGGATAGCTAATGTTTTAAGTAATTGTTCATTTCAAACTGCAACCTTCCAAGCAAAGGACTTTCCAGACACATCAAACATCTCAAACTGGTCCATGGCCCAGACTCAAGTGGGAAATTTTGAAATCACTTTGGAATATTCCATAGTAAGCTGTTAACCTTTGCATTTTCAAGGATCTTTTCAGACTTGAAAAATCCCAATGTTTACAGTAAGATAACTTAAGTACTTATCAAGCATGTACTCTATTTGACTTGGAAAGAATACATAGCACCCTGAAGCTGCAAAATGGTTTGTGCCCCTATTTATCTTTCCAAATTTAGTCATTTCTCAGTATTCTGTCTCCTTATCTATTTTGCACAGAAAGACAGATTATGTTTTTCTACATGTAGCACTTATGAAGCAATAAAATGAAGATAATAAAAGCATTTGTTCATAGTACGGTCAAGAGCGTGCAGAAAGCCTGTCTATCCATGGTTCTAACATGGATCTATGTGGCTGACTCAGACTTGCCTTTTTTTTTTACCCCAAAAAAAGTGGTATGTTTTGGGGGATTTTAAAATGACCTGCCTATGACAGCATTTCCTCAAAAACAGAATCTATGATTATTTAGCTTGTTTGGTCTTAGCTACTAGAATAAAAGAGCATCATACGAACAACTGGTCAGTGAGCCTATTCCAGTGATATTAAGAATATTATATTTGTTTGTCTTTTGATGTCTGGTATACATGCGGTGAACCTAAACCAAAAAACAAACTCACTGCTGTGGCTTCGGATTCAACTCATAGCAACCCCTCCTTGGGTTTCCAAGGCAGTATCACTATGGAAATAGATTGCCCAACCTTCCTTCCAAGGAGTGGCTGGTGGGTTTGAACCACCAGCTTCTAGTTAGCAGTCACATGCCTTAGGCACTACGCAGCCTAGCTAAGTATATCGTTATTGTTAGCTGATGCTGAGTGACCACTGATTCATGGTAATCCCAGATGCAACAGAATAAAACACTTCTCAGTCCTGCACCATCCCCCTGAAGGGATGTGGATCAGCTCATTGTGATCCATGAAGTTTACATTAGCTGATTTTTGGGAATAGATCATCATCCTAGTCCATCTTAGTCTAGAAGCTCCACTGAAATCTATTCAGCCTCATAGCAACACGGGAGCTTCCATTGGTAGATGGCGTACTGGCTGTGCATGAGGGATTGGCTAGGAATCAAACCTGGGCCTCCTAAATTGGAGCTAAGAGTCCTGCCACTGAATCATCAATGCCCCCATTACTAGGCTTTTGAAAATTTAAATAAGGCAGGTAATATTTTGGAGCTGTGGAGAATAGGCAGTAGGCTTGGGCAGTTGGGCAGCTCTCAGGCTACCTGAGCCTTACCTTGCAACATAGACTCCAGCCACGTCACCCAGGACCTAGTGTGCTGTTTTGTCAAGGGGTCCTCCACTTCTCAGCATCTTATACATGATAAGTCAGGATTGTCTAATCCAGCCCCCAAGAGTAGAAATTACTAACCTTAGAAGACCCATAGCTAATTAAGGCTAGTCTGGTTGCTCTAAAAGAGATGGATTGTCCCATCAACTTTGAGTATCTGGGAAGCTGAGCCATTTATCCACATCTACTGGAACTGCTTCTATGTTGAGTTCCAAGTTGAAGCATTGCTTAGTCCTCTGGACAGATGAGGAAGATTCTGCCTCTTTCCTCACATTCTGTTTTTCAAGAACCTTTTGTAATAGGAGCAAGGGCCCTTGGACCTAATGTTAACTTCTGCAAAAGCCATGTGTTTTGTTTTGCTGAAAGCAGTTTACAGTTTTCAGAGCACCATTTACAGACTGTTATTATTTTACAGTCAAAATGTACAGTGTGGTTGAAAAGGCACACCCAATTAGCTGTTTCTCTCAAAAACAATTTGAAAATATTTACCTCAGAAACAAAAAATGTTCTCATGGGTTTATTAGATCACCTAATTACTCATAAATATTTTCTTAGCTGTCAGTGCTATTTTTGTCAACCACCCTGTGTTCAAAGTTGAAGCATCATTAAAGCTCATATGTAAGGACAATGTTACATTTTAGCTACAGTGTGGATTTGCCTTTCAGCCTGTTAGAAGACTTCGGATTTTGCTCTCCCCTTGGGAAGTGAGAGCACCTCCACTGCTTTTTATTAGAGATAGATTGGGCACATGCCACAATTACGGAATTTTTAAGAGCAAAACCCCCTCCAAAAAAAAAAAAAAAAAAAACATCTCCTTGCAACCACTTGCCACAGAGCCATTGCAAGAGACTTTTGCTTGGGTGGGAATGGTTTGATTGATACCCTGATTCTATTTCAAAAAAGGAAAAAAAAAAAAAAAAGGAAGAAGTATTTTATTTTCAAAGTTTTTACGTACCTCCATAAAATGCTATAATCTAACATTTTACATTATACTTTATTTTATAATATGCTATAATATTTAAAAAGCTTTAATATGTGCCCACCTTTGACCAGCTCATTGTGGTATTTTGAATCTTACACCCAGGCTACTGTGACAGAAAGCGAATTGTACATCATTTGGTGAATACAAGCCAGGTAGACTGTAGATTTTGCAGTTTCATTCTGTTATATATAAGGTCACCATGAGTCAGCGCCAACTCGTAACAACAACGCCTATGGATTATCTAGACAATACAAATTGAATGGGGATTTAGAATGTTTGTACTCACTTGTAAGTATTGTCCACCTCTAGCATGTGATGCCTAGAGAGATGTGAAAGAAAGAAATGGAGGGCTTTAATCACAGCTCAGTCATTTCACACCCCTCCCCACCATACACATTCCCTAGAGTGAAGAGCTGGCCTGAGGCATTCACCAATCAATCCACTCCTCTCTTCCTCTTTGCTTTTTCCCACTAGCTTTTCATTACAGAGCGTATTTGAAGGTGCTCCCAAGTTACATCACTGCACCAGTGGTGAAAAACATTTGCTGTTGAGTTGATTCCAGTGCATGGCAATCCCATGTGTGTCAGAGTAGAGCTGGTTCATAGAGTTTTCAATTGCTGATTTTTGGCAAGTAGATTGCCAGGCCTTTCTTCTTATATTTGCTGGGTGGACTTGAACCTCCAACATTTTGCTTAGCAATCAGGCCCATTAACTGTTTATACCACCCTGTGACTCCACCCCAATGGTATGTCAATGTTTTGCACCCCTATGTGTGTTAAAGAGGGACATTTCTTCTGGGGGTGGGTGTCATTTGACCTGGGACCTTGATTGTTTAAAGAGAGAAAACATCACCTGTGAGGGAAACTGTTAAGTGTGAGTTTTGCTGTCTGTGTTTCTATAGCAACATACTATTTCTCAAAAGGATATTGCAGTTAAATTTCAAGGAAACAAGTTTTCATTAATTTTCATTTTCCCTTAATGATAGGAGATATTTGCCCTTAGGGGATCTTATTTGTTGGGTAGTTTCTTTAAAGACATTTAGAAATCATTCGAGGCTGTGTGCTCTCTATTTCCTTGTTAATGGGTCATGAATTTTTACAGAGATGTTTGAATCATGGTTCATTTACCTCTAGATTGTACAAGGGTTAGTGAAGTAAATGCTTGGAAAGCTATGTGGGGATGTGTTCCATAGCAAAATACATAATCCCTTCCAGGCTTTCAATGATGTTTTGTTTCTCATCTAAAGAGCAATCCTGAGGATGTTTTAATGGCAACTGAGATCACTAGCAAGCTACAACACGTCTTATTTCCCCCCACCCCCACATATGCTTCCCATGTGAATCCTTTCACTCTTAAGTCAAGAGAGCCAGTTTCATGGCTAATTATCCTTGTTGACAGTAACAAATTGGTTAGGGTGCCAAATTTTATGAAGATGTCTCCAGAGAAAATTTAAACACTGCTCACATCACACCTGCATTGTTAACTGACCTGTAAAGGGGAGGAGGCATGGGATTGAAGATTGGGAGGAATTAAGCAAAACTTGCATGGAAGGATTTCAGAATTTAAATGATCATTTATAGACATGGATGATTTGGAACCTTGAACCAAGAAATTTGGTGAAATTAGCCTCCATCTTTATTTTTTTAAATAATTAAAATTCAGATCAACTGGAAGATTTATGATCTGCTTAGATTTGATTTACAAAAGAATGATCATCGTCTTTTAATGATTATTTGCTTTTATTTAAGAATGGTGAGGCTGTGGCATGATATTTAGAGACATGATGTCTTATAATTAGAAGCCCATGTCTGCTCCTTCCCTATAGTTATATAAGTGTCTTTAATAGCAATGGACTTACTCTGAGTACACTGAGCTGTATGTCACTCTTAGGGGGTATCCTATCACTCTCCATCAGTAACGGATCCCACTCTTACTGCGGATGCTCTGGACAAAACAATTGCAGAGTTTGATACTGTGGAGGATCTGCTTAAGCACTTCAATCCAGAATCGTGGCAAGAAGATCTTGAGAATCTGTATTTGGACACCCCTCATTATCGAGGCAGGTCATACCATGACAGGAAGTCAAAAGGTAAGAAACAGGGCCTGGAGGTCCTTTGTAAGCAGCTGTTGTTAGGTGCTGTTGAGTTGACTCTGACTCATAGCTGCCCCACATGACAGAGTAGAACTGTCTCATAAGGATTTCTAGGGCTGTCATCTTTATGTGAGCAGATCAGCAAGTCCTTCTCTGATGAAGCCACTGCGTAGGTTCAAACCGTCAACCTTTTGGTTGGCAGCCGAAACCATTACTAATTAAGCATGTTAATAATAATAATAAGTAAGGACTAGCAATGCTATAGGAGTTCTGGTAGCATAGTGCCTAAGGCACTTGACTGCAGAAGGCTGGCAATTCAAACCCATCAGCCACTTCTCAGAAGGAAGATGGGGCAATCTACTTCCGTAGTGATCCTGCCTCGGCAACCCAAAGAGGGGTCACTATGAGTCGGGACTGACTCAACGGCACACAACAACAACAGCAAGCAATGCTATGTGTTTAATTCACATAAATCAGATGATTACTGCTAGTCCAGGACCTCAAGAGAAGTTTTATATTTTACCCAAACAGTGTTGTTTGTATGGGACTAAGAAAGGTTTGGTTTCATCAAAGATCTGTCATATTTTGAAACTTAGAATATTTCTTCCAGGAAAATAAAGCATTGTTAGTCACAATTTCACAGTGAAGGCAATCAAAGTCAGGAGAGGTAAGTGATTTGCCAAAGATTGCATGGCTAATTAGCAGTGGAGAGGAAATGAGAACCATGTTCTTCTCCTGCCTCCAGTGGCAGTGCTTGTGCAAAATAACTTCTGTGCCTCCCGATCGATATGAAGGTAGATTTAGTCCATGATTCAGTCAGTGTTGGCAAGAGAGAGAGTCACGTTAAAGCAATGATCAAAATCCTGTTTGAAGATTTCAGCTCCACCTATTCAATGTCCATTCTTAAAATCCTTTATATGGACCTATTATGTGCTTGGTGGTATTCCTGGGTGATACAAATGGTTAATGTGCTCAGTTGGTAACTGAAAGGTTTGGCATTTCGACACCCAGAGTTGTCTTGAAAGAAACGTCTGGCAGTGTAATTCTGAAAAAGATAGTCTTTGAAAACCCCACAGAGTACAGTTGTACTTTGATGCACATGTGATTGTCATAGGTGCGAATCTGACTTTATGTGCTAGGTACCCGCTCATTGAGTTTCCAAGGCTATAAGTCTTTACAGAGTAGATTAACTCATTCTTCTGTCCCAGAGCAGCTGGTGGGTTTGAACCACCGACCTTCTGGTTAGCAGCCAAATGCCTTAATCACTACGCACTAGAGCTCCTTAAAAATCCCAGGGGAGAGGTAAAAAAATAGGTTGAGATAGCTTCAATATATGTGAAAGCAAACATTCAACTGGAACTTTCCAGAAAGTGTAATGAGGTTAGAAGAGAGAGGAGCATTCAAGAGAGAGAAAATTATTATGAGTTAAAATGATAATACTCTCTAGCAATAAATATCTTAATCATACACCAGAGTAATATGATCTTCAGATTAGAGTGTTTATTTGAATGTTTATCTCCAACTAATAGAGTAATAACGTAATTACCTGTTATGGAATAAAGCTATAATGTCTAGTGTGTTATGTCCTTCCTTCATTTGCTAAGATTTGTTATCTTTAAAATTTTCCCTAAAAAGTCTTATAAGGCTTATTTGCATCATTGTGGAGATGTGTAGCTTAAATACAGTTAGTTTCCTATACTTTGTAATATCAAGGGTACTTCTAAAACTGCACACTGGGCCACATTAGCAGATGTTTGTGTTGTTAGGTACAACTGATTGGAACTTTTAGGCTGACATGGCGAATTAGTTAACTCCTGCCTGGACCTTTTCCTTATGGTTCATGTCATAAATCTTAGCGTGGGGAGGGGGCCGCTCCAATGTTTTGAAGCTATGCCATGAGTAGAGTATTGTGACTCTCAAACTGAACCTCCCCAGGAGTCAGATTGTATTGACACAAAGGAGAAATTGATTTTCTGTAAGACACTACCACCATTGGTCAACTTTTCAGGAAAGTAAAATCTTCACATGGTTTGAAAACCCTCAAAATTATTAAAAATGTTATTGAATGAAAAAGCAATAAAATATGGCAATATCTTCTGGCATATTAACCATTTAATATCACTTAAATCCATTTATCTATCTATCTATCTATCTATTTCTGGAAATTATGTTTTACTTGGGCCAGAGGATCTGGATTCAAATCCCAATTCTGCCACTTACAAGCTTTATAGTTGTTCAGCAAATCACTGAGCCCCAATTTCCTCATCTGCAAACTATAACTGCATAATAACACCTATGTCAGGGAATTAATGGAAGATCAGCTAAGAGCATCTGGCACATAGTACTTGTTTAAGTTAGCTAAGATGTAGCTAACTATAGTTAGTTGACAGAGTAAAACTGCCCCATAGGGTTTCCTATGCTGTGATCTTTAAGGGAACAGATTACAAGGCCTTTATCTCAAGCAACCACTGAATGACTTTGAATTTCTAACCTATCAGCTAACAGATGAGTATTTCACCAATGCACCACCAGATCACCAGTAGCTATAGCTAATTTTAATTTTGAGCTTTGTTTTGTAGCACTTCCTTGGTGAAGGATTTCTTGTCCTCTTCCGTGGAATGGCCAACACACCAGGCCAAGTCAGGAGTCCTTGGAACTCCACAGCACTTTTTTCTCTACTGTCATTATCTTATTATTGTTTCTTTGTGTTTTCTCTTAGATAATATCAGATTCTAGACTTGACTGCTAACCAGAAGGCTGGTGGTTCAAATCCACCAGTCATTCCTCAGAAGGAAGGTTGGGCAATCTACTTCTGTAGTGATACTGCCTCGGCAACCCACGGAAGGGTCACTATGAATCAGGGCCGACTCGACGGCACATAACATCAACAACAACAACAGACCTTCATATGGATGTCAATCCTGGATGAATATTAGGATCACCTAGGGAACTTTAAAAAATACAGATGCCTAGGTACCCCTTCCAAGTCAAATTGACTCAGAAACTCTGGGACAGGGGTGAAGTGTTGATGTTTTTTTCTGGCTCCAACTCCTAGAGATCAAAAGAAGCCTGGATTAAGAGCTACTGTTTTGTTCATCTTCTATCTCTAGCATTTGGCATAATCTCTGTTTTTAGATGCTCAATTAATGTGTATGGAAATGAAAACAATAGCTCAGAGTTAGCATATTTCTTAAGTAGGAAAGCCTCCGATAGACTTAAGAGTATAGCTCCCTTAAGAATGCCTCTAATTACTGGAATAACCTTGCAAGAGCATTTGAGATAACATGCTACTTATTTGTAACAGAGTAAACATCATCCCTCTTTCCTGTTAGTTTAGTTTAAGTTCTGTTTCTTAATCTCTTGTTTAAACTGGCCTTAAGGCAGATTTGTACTGTTTCATTTAACCCTGGTAGGTCACCACTGTCTCTGTACTTGTATAAATGTGCTGATTTAATTGTTTATCATTCCACACATGCTGAACTACCTGTGTGTATCACAAAGGCAAGGGAAGATAGCTGTAACATTTCAGCTGTTACTTTCTGTTTTTAGAACTTCAAAATACAAATTCATGCTTGTATCCTGATATTTGAGAAGGGTACAATGAAAAGGAATGGAAAAAGAGAGCTAGCTATAGATAAGGGGACTCCACTAGGTGTCAAGAACAAAATGAATTTTGTTGTTATTGTTGTTGCTAGGTGTCGTCGAGTCGTTTCTGACTCATAGCGACCCCATGCACAGCAGAACGAACCACTGCCCGATCCCGCGTCAGCCCCAAAATCCCTGCTATACTTGAGCCCATCATGGCAGCCACCATGTCAATCCATCTCGTGAAGGCCTCCCCCTCTTTCGTCGACCCTCCACCCTACCAAGCATGACATCCTTCTCCAGGGAATGGTCCCT